TTCCCTTACCATCCTAGGTAAAAAAAAGATATGACTTACCTCAACCCCATCCCTAAACTTAACCATCACTGGGGTTAATGGCATTTATGACTGGAGATTTGACTGCGTGTACAGACACGCGGAATGACGCGGACGTTAATGGCGACATATACGCATACTCGCGGATACACGCGAATAGCTCAAAATGCGTAACACGCCACCTGACTCGAAAGTGGCGTATATGTTTACGCAAAATGTCATGTTGAGACTCAAATATGCATATGATCCCATTCTGCTGCTGAAAATCTATCGATGCTCAGCTGTGTTGATATTGGGGTGGAACAAACCGTAATAAATATTGTGTATTTGTGATAGTTTTTGTCTCCATTGGGCATGATATTTATAGATGCGTGTACATACAACTTCATGAAGCCTCACAATGGATGGCCAAACTGCGTGTTTGTGTGTATAAACTTTCGCATTTGTATTCGTGGCAGAAAAAATGGGAGGAGAAAGGAGTGTTTGTTTATTGTAGAAACTAACAGTAAAGGGTTGAACTCATGCACTGAGTAAACTTTTAGGTCATGTGTGGGTTTCATAGTTCATTTGTAAATGTGAAAGAATGGTGCAATGGAAGGAATGTATGTGATGGTTCATATTCAATGCAGATGAACATCCCATTTCTTCCTTTTTTTTTTTTTTACTATGTCCCTGGTCATTTATACAGAGAACCGAGCATGAAAATCAAGCTTTCTGTGTTTTGGAGGCTCCACATGTTCCTCTATGAGTCAAAACACCTCTATGCATCAAACACCAGATCTTACAAACTAAACAGTGTTGTTCCATCAACACTTCAGACTGAATGTTTTGATGAATAAAATCAGTCATCCCAATTTGTAAATTGTTGAGAGAAACTCCCACCCACGGCGCATGGGAAACTGTATCTTGTGCGTGCATTTAAATTAATCAAGGATTTCAATATTTCCACCATATTTTATGCATTTTTTAAAAAAAGAATTTGCTTCCATTCATCACATGAAAACTGCATCTGTTACTAGCACTTTTTCATTTCAAGATTATTGTGACAATGTGGCAATAGGGCTGGGTGGTGTATTGATATATACTATGCGATTGTAGAATTGAGTCAGCCGGTATATATTTTGCTGCATCACTTATACTGCTGTAGATATATTTGTTCAGCTATCAGTGTGCAAGACTGCTTTACAATATGTACAGATGCATGATAGTAACAATGAATAGTGCACAAATACAGAGCTTGATGTGTCTCAATCAGGCTAAGTTGACAGATAACTTGTTATTGAAAGGTGTCAGGCACAAGGACAAAATAAAGTTTGTTGTTTATACTGTCACCACTTGCCGTATATTCATTAATAATTCAATGCATGCGCATATATTGGCTATTATACAACGGCTTCAAATGTGAAGGGAATATTCACTCATGTTTTAGTGTCAGAATCTTTATAATTTCAAATATTTTGATCCTTTCTGACTAAGAAATGTATGCACATTATAATGGATGCATACTATTTTTGGATGATCCAATAAATTAAATATTTTACAATCGAAATTCACCTGTTTCAGTTGATAACTTACTCTTTTTATTTGGAACTTGGAGGCAACCACAATTTTGGTCATTTATTTGCCAGCCCCGATGTTGTTTTAGATGGATTTTGGATGATCCATTAAATTAAATATTTTACAAATAATAAAATGAAACAGATGAATTTTATTTTCTCTTGGAACTTGATGGAGGCAACCACAATTTTGGTCATGTATTTGCCCGCCGTGTGGTTTGGCTAGATTGTAGATGTTCCAATATATAACATTTTTTACAAATAAAATGCACCTGTGTTTCATTTGATTATTTTCTCTTTTTATTTGGAACCTGTAGGCAACCAAGATTTTAGTCATTTCTTTGCCAGTCCCTTTGGGGTTTGGATAGATTTCAGTGTTCAGTGTCTGCTTTTTATAAGCGACTTTGGGTGCGTGCTTCCATTGAAAAGTCCTTTTTTTGTTGGGCGGGGGGATCTTGGCCACCATACATCTTTCTGTCAAATTTCCTCACTTGCAGTGCAAACCACGCCTATTTTGTTATTATTAAACTGTTAAGTCTGTTTTTCTTTTCCTCACATATTTCTGCCTTGCATCTCACTGTTTAAATGCCCCAGTTTAGTGTTTTATGAATTTGTATGCTACAATACATCAGATCAGAAAAAAAAAGAAAAGATAAAAAGACTTTGATGATTTTTGTATGTGGGTATACAGAAAGGGACAGTGAGTAAGTGAGTGGGTAAAATAAAAAATCAGGGAAGATATTGGAAGAGAGGATTCATGCAAATATTATTGATATAAAAACTCTGCCAGGCATTGACTAAATAGCTTGGCTATGAGAAGGCCCACTGACCTTGAGGTATATGTTAATATATTTTAAATAAAGATGAATGAAATAGTTATGTAGTAATGCTGGGAAATTATTAAATAAATAAAGTACTGAGATAAGTATGGCCCTTTAAAGGTTAAGCTATTCTCTTACTTCCATTATCAAAAAACAGCTGAATGCAATAGGCCTTTATGGATGTTGTGTTGTTTTTTGGTTCATACCAGGTTGCTTGTTTTCTTGTTGCTGATACATTTCAAAGTGATTCGCCCTCAAGTGAAGTAAATTGACGCAGAGGGTCTGTAAAGACATGATTTCAGTAAGGGTAAACTCCACACTGATGTCTAATTCCCCATGTTTAACCCGGAGGAACTCACCGAGTCATAAGAAGGTGACCAGCAGAGGGAAGTATTCTACTGCTTCCACTCAATCACCTCACATTCTGACACACACACACACACACAGACTGTCTTACCTGGAATCAATTTATGAAATGGCAACAGGTAGCCTACAACTGTTAATAAATCATGATAAAGTCATATTAATCGCTGCATCAAATGAAGCAAAGCACTGACAGCACACCTCAGCGTTACGACCACAAATTCCCTCAAAGTATTGAGTGTTGGCTTGTTAAGGAAAGCTGGTCGTAGTAGACACAAAATAGTTATTTGGTGGTGAAATAAGTTGTTCCCGACAACCTTTTATCTCACATATGGTAATATCACGTCGATATCGTCCGGTTTATCGTGTAGAATATCTCTTTAAGTATATATTTTATTATCGTTTCTGTGAATTTAAACCTCCCCTCAGAGTTAACTTTTGCGCAATGGCGACTAAAGCAGTGTTGCCAGATCTCACTCGGGAAAACGGGCAAATTGGCCTGAGAACACATTAGCCTACCTGCTTTTTTACATAAAGTTGTGCTCTACTTGTTGCATCGCTTGTTCTCTACTTGTTGAATCATTTTCACAATGTCGCATTTCCACGGTTAACAGATCTGTCAATATAAAGGGCTTGATATTAATTAATCTGACGGATTAATTATACTGTTACATTTCATTTAAAATAGCCTATAACTGACTGTATTTACATGAGTATTGATCAAACTGGCATTTTGGTAAAATTTAATGTGTATTTGACTGTAACCAGCTTTATGCACACACACTTTGGGTGTGAGCAGAAAATTTGTGAAAAGGAGTTTAAAGGAAATTACAAGCAATCACGTCAATATTCAGGTTCCAACCAACCACATACATCTGGAGCAAATGAAATGAATGAGTGAGGGGAGAAGAGTCCATAACTTGCTGTCGGAGAGATGAGAGAGCAAGAAATTGCAAAAGTGCAGATGATATTATGTATCGTGTATCTTGCGGAAAATGAGTACAAAAAACTTTTCAACATACTTCAGTCTCTATCAAAAAATATATTATATTTTTTTGAGTAGTGGCAAATCTCCTGACCACTGCGATCAAGTTTTATTATTATTATTTTTTTCCTCGTTTGGAAACTCATAGAAAGGCTATTGTGGATTTTATCTTCTGTTATTGGATCAAATGGGAACGCAAAAATCATTAACTATGATGACTTCCGCTTCTGAGAATCCCAGAAATGTGAAAAGTGGAACATGGTCCCTTCGCTCACGCCACTGAAAATCTCCAAGTCTCACTGAAAATAACTGATATCCAGTAAATTGCTTTATCTCTGCAAGTCACTGTCAGTTTGTCGCCCCTAAATATGGAACAACATGGAAAACAAACTAACTAAAGTAACACTTATCTTGAAGGGGTGTGCATAAGACTAACATGACACCTTCATAATCATGACATAACATGTTATAAATATGAAGGAAGTTTTATGCATGTTTGTGACAACTGTCATTAAGTGTCATTCGCTCAGTTATGACATTTTTAATGCAAATATGACATTGTTTGAGATGTCTTTGTTATGACACCTTGACATAAACCAATACATCATAACCTGTCAGTGTCTTTGTCATGACAACTTGACATTACTAAGAATATGACATAAACATGACAGCAGATTAATTATCAAACTTAAGAAACCACCTAGCTTTATTGGTTAACATTACATTAAACTATCAGGTTGTTGGTTTTGACATTGCCTGTTAAGAAATCATTATAACTTTTTAATGAAAAATTCAATTACCACTATAGTTGAGGTCACGAAAAATATTCATGACACAATGGCCTCATGACAGCCAATGTCAAAGTCAACCACATTAACTTAATTTCATGTCAAGTTACAAAGACATAACAAAGACATCTTAAACAATGTCATATTTGCATTCAAAATGTCAATTGAGCGAAAGACACTTAATGACAGTTGTCATAAACATGCATAAACCCTAGCTATTTCATATTCAAGACATAGCCTATGTAATGTCATGGTTATGAAGGTTATTTATTAATTAACTGATTAATAAATATGTTAAACATTTTATCATGTTCTCAAAATGTAACTGTAATCTGAAAATAAGACCCTAAAAAAACTGTAGACCACGCTTATTATAAGCGGACATGGCAACAATGAACTAAATCCCCCTACTATAGTGTAAGCCACGCCCCTTTCTGACGTCACCCTGATTCGGATCGCTCCTCGCGCTTGTATCAGCTACACTAGAACAGTTCAGGTTGTGGCAGCAGTGCCTGAAGTGCGCCAAACCACGGAATTGTTGCCATATTCTGGAGAATCAGTCCGTTTTCTCGGGAAAAAAGAAAAAAAAATTGTTCGGAACGGATTTCTGGTCCGTTGAAACATCTTCAGCACCCAACAAAAATAATCTGATAATCCTCACACTCCCAAACTGAGGGAACAGACCGGGACCGTTGGGACTTATAGGACATATTCTGTTTACCACGGCGCAAAACAAAGTACATAATCTTGTTATACATACTTGTATTGTGGAGCAAAGGGAACGGATGCATTAAACGCCCCGTTATTCAGGGTTCACTGTTATTGCGCTTCTGTTTTGAGGGGGGTTGAGCAGCCGCACTGGATTCAACGCTTGGGATGCGGGATCCCTGAACTTGTCTGCTTCTTATCCGCCTCGTCGAGCGGACTTTTCATCTGCAGAATCCGATTCGATCAGCATCTTCCACGGGCGTTTTGGATGCGATCTAGATTCCTGGCAGTGCTAAACTATTCATCGAATGCAGTTTTACTAACAGCTGACTTTCTGTCGTGTAGTGAAGGGGTGGACAGAAGTGGATTGTGTTGAAGTTGCATGAATCAACGGATCGCTCTTTGCAGATCGCAAAATCAGATCGGATATTTGGCGTGAGGCGCGATGGCAATGTTGGCGACTTTTTGGATTGTCCTGTTGGTCGCGTTAAACGCTCCAGGTAAGTCCACTGAAGGATGTTTGTCAGTCAAATGTGCGCTATTGCCATTTAGTGAGAGCGAATCTTTCAAACACTATGCGGTTTATAACTGTTTAAAGTTAAACTAAGCCTCTCTGGCGATACATTGTTGCCATAATTAAGATAAATGGACTCAAACGCATGAAAACATGAGATACAGGCAGATGGCGATATTGATGCTGCGCTGGAATATGTGTTCTGCTTGTTAATTGTGAGTTTTTAAAGAGCTGCAGACATAGAAGGTAACACACAAATGTTAGTTTTCAAATTATTTTAAGAGATAAAGGAGATAAAGGATATTCATGTTTACACATGAAGGGATAATTTATTTAGTAGCCTAGTCTTTGTTCAAATATCGTTTGACGCCATGTCAAATGAGTGGCATGGATGGAGATGGATCAAGTAACCCATAGCGATGAATCATTCACAGTACAATTTAATGATGAATATACGCACCTCTTGGTGAAACATTCGTCAGACAGTAAAAAATAAGATGTTTTATTATTATTTTTTGTTATAAATAAAACATTGTTTTTTTCTAAATAGTTCCTTGGGAGTAAAACATAATTTGTATCAACCAATTTTTGACTTATGCATGCATTCTTTTTTTGTCATAATTGATCCATTATGTAGCCTACACTTAAAAAAAGCATCAATCTCAAGTGAACTTTTAAAATTGAGTAGTTATGACAATGATTTTTGCAGTTAGTTCTGGCAATTAAAATGCTTCATAATGTTCTAAGGTGCGACGGCTTCCATTCTTGTCAATTATGAGTTGGAATAGTTAACTTTCCTTTGGCTGTCAGATTAAAGCACTTGCTTTGTCTGTGAGTGATATATGGGTGTGACCCGTCTGTGAAGATCATAGTCCTCCTTCATCCTCTGTACCTGAACCTCCTTCCTCTAAAATGAATCACATGAAATGACATAATAACATTTAATTCAAACACACAGCTTCCCTTTAAAAGCATCCCTTTCCCTTATCAACAAGAGTATTCAATTCATTTGCGTTCCCCAGACACTCTATTGGCCCAGCATTAGGTGTCTTTTAATAAACTGCTCTTGAGAGTATATTTTCAAATCAATACTGCACTGCTGACCTCTAATGTTGTAAACAAACTGTCTGATATATTGGTTGGTCTCAAAGCGCTTTTCCGGTCTGCCCCTAGTGGCTCTGTAGAAGAAGCCTAGCCAGTCAAAACAGCTGTTCAGGGTCAACTGAGTGAAAGGCTTATGTGATAATAACCCTTTCACCTCCTTTCATTGAGCGATTCTTCCATTTATCATCTCGCTTTTCCACTCTTAAGCGATGAAGACATCCATGCATCCTTGATCGAAACTTATTTCAAGAAGATTCTGCTGCTCTTTGTAGTGATACAATGCTTCACTAATAGTTTTGCAAGACTCAAAGAATGCCTAGATCTTACCATACGGAGTTGATTGTATCGCTAAGCTTCATGTAATATATGGCACCTTGTACAGTTGCAAATAGCTTGAACATGTTGCTTTTGGCGTGACTCCAGAAACGGAACAGTCTTGTTTGAATCACACGGTGACCAAATGTTTGTGTGCCTGTAAGGCTGCTTTCAGATCCAGTTCCTGTAGAATTCTATTTCGTCATGGGATGTAATAAAACCAACTGACTCGTGTGGCAAGATGATGCAGGAACCAACATTTTTGATGGTGGCGCACTGTAATAAGAGTCAGCATTTTGAGCATTTGTTCCTGTGGGTAAGGGATGACCAAAGAATTAGCTTGCGTTTCTCACCATTAGCAAGGACTGGTGACTTAATGGAGCAAAATATTTAACTTTCTTGACAGTAATGATATGCATAGAACTATTACACTTTTTTTTCCAGGGTATAATTTAAGACTTCAAAGTCAAAAGATACAAATGGTGGGAGAGGTTATAGAAAAGTCGCAAAGATCCGTCCAGACAAGAATGCTCTGTTGACAAGACACCTTGGAAATCTAATGATATACACAACACGGGAGTAGTGAACACATCCCTCTTTGTTCACCTCTGTTTTGTATTTACTAGACACTTGCCATGCAATTAACAGCTGGAATGGGGGGTCTTAGAAGACATCTGGCTATTGTTTCTCTTTCTGAAGCAAAATCAGCATAAATCAGATCTACATGAACATGTTCATGTCAGAGCCGGTTACTTCACGTGCAGCTACACGTACAGCTGAATACTTAGCGGTGCCGTGATTCCCGTGAAGCCGAGCACAATAATGAAGCGTAATGAATTATATGGATGCGGTTCTGCTTTCTGTTAGTTGACGCCCATGGCTCTTCCATTGAAAAGCATGGGCTGAAGTGTCGTAATTTACAACGTTATCTGCTCTGAGATTCACGCCCCCTTTTTTTTGCCAAGTTGGAACCCGCCGGGGTAATCTATTAATAGGGCAATTTGCAGCCTGTAAGTTGTAATCTCTCGGGTGTTCTGATCTATTGGTAATGTCTGAAATGGCTCGACGCTAGGCTAGATGAATCGATAGATTGGTGCTTTCTTTTCTAGGTTTTTATGAATTGCTTTCTTTTTGTGAAGTTGTCAGTGGTCAACCGGGTTTGGGTACCGACATTCTTCAAAAATATGTTTCTTTTGTAGGGCTGTCTAACGATTATTCGCGATTAATCGCATCCAAAATAAAAGTTTGTGTTTACATAATATATGTGGGTGCACTGTGTATAATTATTTTATAGCCTATAAAAACACAAACATGCTCATGTGTGTATTTCTATATATATATACAAAATAATTATACCCACATATATTATGTAAACAAAAACCTTTATTATGGATGCGATTAATCGCGATTAATTGTTTGACAGCCCTATTTTTTTGTGTTCCGCAGAAAGATCACAATGAAAAAAGTACAAATCGTCGTTCCAAACCTGTATGATTTTATACAGGTGTGAAATGACATAAGGGTGAGTAAATGATGTCATAATGATCATTTTCGCATGAACTATCCCTTGTTTCATTCATTCGACTCTTCCATTTTACCGGGATGGTTTTCCTTAAGGAACACATACAATTCCTGAATTTTAACAACACTGCTGGGGTGTGATGCAACATATCTGTGATGTTAATTTTCCTTGTTCATATAAAAACACAACGGATGGATAACTCTTCTTTGTGGCTACAATTCATCCAGGATGAAAGAAGAGTAAAGGAACGGGCTGTGCTGTTTGATAGTGATTACATGACTTATAGCTCTCCCTATAGAGTAAAACAGATGCTAGATGGATAATTTCTCCTAACCTCCAGTGTTTGGCAAACCATCACTGACCCGTAAATCGGCATTTCCTCCTTTGATAACTTTTTTTTTAGTGATACTTTTTTTCCATTAACGGAATGGAAAACTTTTAAAAGCATTCATCATAGTTTTGCTCGATTTAAGGAGTATTTCATGGAGGAGCTCTAATCCATACCTTAATTATCTGAGCCCACCACAAACATCAATTTTACTAAGAGGGCTGTTTCAAGGTGAACTACCTAGGAAAGTGGTTTGCGTGTACGTGTCGGAGTAAGTCGAGTTAATCTGGGGTAGAAAATGGCTGAATGCCCAAAATGCTTTTTCACCTGTTTCTTAGAACAATATGAAAGGTGCTCTATCAGTGAAATTTGGGTTTCATGTTATTTTACAGTGTGTGTGGTATTTTCATGATTTGTAAGCACAACATTATTTCTTTTGTCAAATCAACTTAATTTATGTAGTTCAGATAACATAATATTTTGAGTTTCTGATGATTAAATCAATCACCTTCATTATATTAACTCAATTTTTCCATTTCAATGAACTTACATTTTTTAAGGCAACCAGGTTACTTCATTTTTTTAAGTTAAACCAACAATATCTTTTTACAGTGAACTGGCTAACTACAGGGGTTAATTTTGGGTTTAAGTAGGTTCAAGGTTAGTACCTAGTTATTACCCAGTTTAGTGTACATCTTATGTAATTGGGGAACAAGACTGTAAAATAAAGTGCTATGTTATGTAAAATTTGTCAAATATTTATATTTTAGATCCATGGGAGATCAGTTGGAGTGCTTAAATGTTAATTAACTGTGATTTGTAATCACAACATTATTTCTTTTGTCAAATCATCTTAAATTATTTATATAGTTCAGATAACATAATATTTTGAGTTTCTGATTAACTCAATTTTTACATTTCAATGAACTTAAAAAATGAAGTAACCTGGTTGCCTTAAAAATTTAAGTTAAACGAACAATATATATATATATATATATATATATATATATATATATCACAGTGGAACTGGGCAACTACAGGGGTTAATTTTGGGTTTAGGAGTAGGTTCAAGGTTAGTACCTAATTATTACCCAGTTATTGTGTACATCTTGGGGAACAAGACTGTAAAACAAAGTGCTACTTTACAAAAAATATGTCAAATATTTATATTTTAGATCAGTTGGAGTGCTGAGATGTTGATTAACTGATCCAATCATCATTTTTTTTTCTAGTGTGTTAGCTTGTTTTTCTTCAAAAATAAGAATGATTTGTGATATCAGTCAATCAAGTCATTTATTTATTGAATTTTCATTTCTTTGAAATAATGTGTGCAGATGAAATGTTCACAGTTAGACAAACCATGAATAGGGTCAATTCAGATTTTTAGGTCGGCTTAATATTTTACTAACCAGCATGTCACAGAATGGAACAAATACCCAGTTGGCCTTGTTACCCATGAGTCCTCTTTTCACAGAGAGAACGACAGCTGATTCTGTGCGTTCTGCTCTTTGATCACAAAGTCTTGCCTGATTTGTGTAGAGATGATCCTGTGGTTCATGTAAAAGATCGGGATTATTTTCCTGGCTGGAGGAATCGTGTTTGAAGTGGTTCAATCAAGAGAGGGAAGAAGAACATCTTGTGATATCCCCCCTCCCCAACTGTGGTTTTTGATTATCCCATTGACTGTAAAAGCCATGTTTGAGTGGCGTTTTTAATT